AGTTGCATACAATTCTGCAATCAAAGGAAAAAATGATCAGAGAAGTGCATTTTGATTCTCCTTCACTTTGACTGCTGCTAAATAAAACACAGCGCAACCTTCAGAAGTCACATGACCAGTAGAGAGACTCATTCTACGTGTAGATTAACCTCAGTATAAATTCAGATGTGTTGTGAAGGAGTCGGAGGTTCTGTGAGAGAACACTGGTAAGAAAGCAGCATCATGAAGACTGAGGAACATGTCACATCAGGGGTGACGTTTTGAAGTTAAAAGCAGGGACAGATTATAAACAAAACCTCAAGCTTTAAATATCTAGTAGATATTCCAACATGCAGACAGACTTCATTTTTCCAGCCTGGAAATCAGAATTCCAGCTTTTAAATGAATACAGAACACACCATGAGTAAATGCTGATTAGAAGATGATGCTGCAGTTGCTGAAGTTTAACGTCAGGACTGCTCTACTGCTCATCAAAAACCATCAATAATTTTCATTTATGTTCAAATGATTTAACTGAAATAACCTCAAAATATTAATATTGTTGTATGGAGCTGTGAGTGGAGTAAACAGATGTTTAATTATTACTATTAACCACATTGTTTCCATTTTGTGTTTGACTTCTGACCATGAACATCTTTGATCATTTGTTTTTACGGTAAATATGTGTTCTGTGTTCTGTCTATAAATCCTAAATTGTTAAAAATTCTTGTATTAAATAAATACTACATGTAGTGAATATGATGTTTTCAGGTAAGATGAAGCAAAAATGTTCTGTATGTATTTGCAGATCTTAAGTATACCATAAAAATGTATCTAAAATGCTTGCAGGAAGAGGTACTTCATTTCTATAACAATCTGAAAGTAACCACACACTTTAACCTCGAAGATCTAACTTCTGATTAAAGAAACTGGATAGTTTTATTGACTCAATATTAAATAAATAATGTATCAATATTTCTCTATGTAACTGGGCTTTATTTTAAAGCACTTGAAGCAGCAGAAGTTTATTTAACACTAGTTGACACACACTGTTCTTACCTGTAAGAGGGAGTTATTTCACGGTCCAGCAGAACGTTGGTAGCAAGGATCCCTCTCACAGAGTCCAGAATGAAAGCTTCATTAATGTTTCCTGACAGGATGGAATACTCAATCTGTCCGTTTTCACTGCTGTCAGCATCAGAGGCAAACACCTGTTTGAAATACAGGAAACAATAAGAATCACTGAAAAGCCCAACTACTACTGGATCTGTCCACACGGTGGATAAAGTGGCTGTACCTGCATGACGTAGGTGTTACGAACTTGTCCCTCCCAAACAGCCGTTCTGTAGTTGCTGAGTTCAAACAGCGGCGCGTTATCGTTGACGTCCAGCAGCGTGACGGAGACCCTGCAGTGGGCCGTGTGCAGCCCACTGTCGGCCAGAACCACCAGCTGGATCTGAGGGCTCACCTCGAAGTCCAGGGAATTTTCCTTCTGCACTCGGATCTCACCTAACAAAGACGGACAAAAATGGCGGTGAAGAAAAAAAATTATCTGCTCCTAAAACAAAAGCCATTAAAAGCTGTTAGCTCAGCTACTTTCAGTCAGATGAACAGCTTAGAGCATAGACTGAACGTAAGACAGAGACAGAAAAATGATATTTTTCTTCAGCAGGGGAAGCGAAAATGGAGGATCTAACTATGGGTCAATGCTAAAGGCTAAAACAAATTTGAGACTGGGGTTGAGCTTCCAGCAGGATGGACATGTAATCATAGAGTGACAGCTATATTCATAAGTTTAATTCAAACTAAGACTCGGAGACAACGCTGGAACACAGATTCTCACACATTCTGCACTAAATCTGACTGAGGTTGAGCAGTTTTACTAAGAACTGGCCAAACCTTCAGCTTCTTGATGTGCACAGCTGATGGACACATTCCCCCAATAGCTGATATTTTTTTTTTTTTAGAACCATATGTGCTTTTTGTTCATGAGCTACTTTGTGTTGATTTATCACAAAAAACAGTTGACATAAGGAGTAATTTGACAAAATGTTAAAACATCCAAGTGTGAGGCACTACAGATTCCCTGCACTAACCCTTTAATGCTAACTGTGACAGCAGCAGCTTTAAAACAAAAAGAAAGGAATAAAACAGTTTGAATGTGCTCTGTACCTGTGTAGCGGTTTATGGAGAACGCTGCATTCTCGTTGCCACTAAATATGGTGTAAGTTATCCTCTGTCTGCCGTTGGTGTCGTCACTGGCCTCCACTTTTGTAATCCAAGTACCTTGAGAAACATAACATGAAAATGTTGCTCAGTTTATTTGTATTATTTATTGAAAACATTTGGAGCAGAGGCGATGAGACGCACCTGCTCTGCTGTTCTCCTTGACGGTAGCGTTGTACACTTTGTTTGTGAACTGAAGCCCGTCATGCTCCCCCTTCAGATGGACCAACAGCAGGCAGGTGGCGGTCTGCGGAGGACGTCCTCGGTCTGAGACCAGGACCTCCAGCTTTCTGCCAGAGAAACCCGCCCTCACTCGCCTCCTGAGTGAAATCTCTCCTGAAGCGGAGTTGATGTCAAACAGACTCTCCTCGCCTGAAAACCTGAACTGGACCATCCCGTTCTCACCCTGGTCAGCGTCTGTAGCAACCGCTGTGGTCACTATCTGATTTGGTTGGGTCCTAATGGAGACCCAGGCATGAAGTGGGTTTTGGTCACAGACGGGCACGTTATCGTTGACGTCGTCCACCTCAATGGTCAGTGAAGCCACAGAGCTCAGTGGGCCCTGAGCGGAGCCGTCTGTGGCCACGGCTTTCAGGGTGTACAGAGCCTGGCTCTCTCTGTCCAGAGACCTGGTGGTGCGGACCACTCCGGTGAAGGGATCCACCGAAAAAGCCCCCTGGCTGTTGTCATCTGTCAGGGTGTAGGTCACTTCTCCGTTGGGACCCTCATCGGGATCGAAGGCGGTCAGCTGCAAGACCTCTGCCCCAGGCGGTAAGCCTTCACTGACGGAGGCGTGGTAGCTCTCAGGACTGAAGGAGGGGGCGTTGTCGTTCTGGTCGAGCAGGAGAATGAGAAGCTGCGTGGTGGAGCTGAGAGGAGCGGGGCCCGAATCCTGAGCCTGAATGGTGAGAGTGTAGTTCTGAATTTCCTCCCGATCCAGAGCCTGCATGATGCTGACCGCTCCGGTCTCACTGTTGATTGCGAATCGGCCTCCGTAGTCCTCACCTAAAGTCGTTTAAAGAAATAAAGAACCAAAAGAGTGCAGCTCATTTCAGGTTATCACAGTTTGGATTGTTGTTACAAATAGATAAAACATTGATATCATAAAATTCCAGTGAAGTGTGAGCAATTTTTAAAAAACAGCTAACGAAAAATGGAAACAACACAAAACCGTAAAAAAAATAAAAATTAATATCCTTTAAACTTTTTAATGTTTTATTACATTACGACCACAGAGTGCAATATGTTATTGGGATTTTAAGTTACACACCGACAAAAAGTCGTACAAAAATGTGAACTGGAAGGAAAATTACAGTTTTTGTGCATTTCTCTTATTTATTTAGCAGCACAGTAAACGTAAAAAGGCTGTGTGTTGGGAGAAACTTGAGGCCTACATGCAAAACTCTACATGCTGGAAATCTAACACTCCACATCATGCTGAAAACACCACCATTACAGTGGCAGCATCATGCTGTGTGGATGCTATTCTTAAGCTGACGGAGGTTAAACACAACACAAAACAAGGCAAAAGCTTGAAAATGCTTCAGGCTGCAGCGGAGGTCCACCATACAGGATGGAACAATGGAATGGAATGGTTACATCAAAGTTATATTAATCTGTTGGATTGGAAAAGTCAAAGTTCAGAACTAAATTTATTTGAAAATTTGTGCAAAAGCCTGAAAATTGATGCTCAAATATGACCTTGTTCTACTTTGCTTAGGAAAATGAGCAGTGGATATGAAAAGCTGATAAGAAGAGTTTTCCTCCCCCAACATCTGCAGCTTTAACTGTGGTGGAAGGTGACTTAGGGCCCTGAATACATAGGCATGCCACACTTTTCAGACATGTATTTCTGAACAACCACATTTCACAGTAACACACTTTTCTACGTCGGTGTATTAGGGCCAGTGCACATAGAAAAGAAGGAGGAGTAAAATTCTGATAAAAAAACAGAAATTTTGAGATTAAGCTCTGAATTTTTAAACCTACCTAGTACAGAGTAGTGGATGGTGCCGTTTTCTCCCAGATCAGAGTCAGAGGCAAGAGCTGTATGTATAACTCCAGGAGAAAGATTTTCTGGCAGGCTGATCTGGAACAGTGGCTGCATAAACTCTGGAGGGTTGTCGTTGTCGTCCAGGATGGAGCACAAGACTGTGGCTGTCCCCAACAGAGGACGGAAACCGTTGTCCCGAGCCTGGACTGCAGACAGAAATCACAAATGAGTCTTTATAAGGGAAACCTTGACAGTTAGTAGACAGACTGACACAATGCAACAGAAACAACCTGGAGCTCAGAGGGACATTTGGGGATTGCTCCTCCAGACCAAGAAATTGAGCTTAGGTATTTATTATTTAGTAAAAATACAAGAAAGAAAAGAAAAATAGATAAAAAGATAAAAACATCCATACAGCTTTTAATACACAGTCTAAAATACCTTTTTTTTTTTTTTTAAAGAAAATTCTTCCTGCTGGGATAATTGTCACCACATATTTTAATATTTCCTGACAAAAACTCCTGTGTGATTTTGGCTCGACTTCACGTTCAAGGTTTCCTGTCATTAAGATTTTATTATTGGATTTAATTGTTCGTCCTACTGGTGACTGTACAAATATTGTTATAAAACATCTGAAAGCGTTTTTAATCACTAACCACGGCTGGACGGGTGGTGAGCGTAATTACGTGAGAGTGAAAAGCAAACAGAAGGCTGCAGTCGGCCCAGGCTGGACATGCACACCGGTCAGACCCTCAGCTTCCTTCAACATAAATCAGCCTGCTGGATCAGTTCACCCTCACACTGAAGGCAGACGTCTTTATGAATTGATAAGAAACAGACTGAAATGCAATCAGGCTGAATTATTATCATTTGAAAGACTCAACCTTACTATCATCTGCCTGAAAATAAAAGATCAGAAGGGAAACAAATGTAATGATGAGCTGCATGGTGGGACGGTGGTTAGAAATGTTCACTCGGAGGTTTGGGCCTGGTTCTGTCTGGAGCTTGCAGTCAGACCTGAAAGATGAACTCATCAGTGTTTGGGTGTAGTCAGGCGTTGTACCTCTGAGGGTGAAATGTTGCTGCTGCTCTCGGTCCAGGTGGGTGGTGGTGGTGATCAGACCAGTGTACGGGTTGATGCTGAACAGCTCGTAGCCAGGGCCCGGCAGCAGGCTGTACCACACCACGGCGTTGTCCTCTGGTTGGAGCAACACGGGACAGGGACTTACACAGGTTGTTTCGATTGATCAAAATTTAGCATAGCCTTAACATTGTTTTATTTGATCTTCTTTTATTTAAATTTTTAAGCTAGTCCTAAAGAGGAAAATTTAGTTTTTTATTTGTATTTTCTACTGTTTTTATGGTTTTTAATATTTCATAGTATTGAGTATCGGTCTCTTTTGAATTGTTGTTATTTTTATGAATATTGTTGAGATAATGTAAAGTTTCCCGTCTGGTAAAGCTGGTAACCTGAGTAACCTCATAGTAACCAAATCCATCTAACAGTATTAATAAAGTTGATTGATTGTGTGTGGTAATTGACTGATGAATGGCAGACATAACAGTCTATAACAGCAAAAAGTCTTCAGCCTTGAGGAAACCTCTGTTAATGATCGTTCTCTTTGAACAGCATCGTTTATTACTAAGCAGTTTTGAGCTGCTGACAGCGTTCTGCTGCTGGCGTTCTCGCTAAAACCAGGAAGCGAGAAAACATCACCCAAATGTAAAGACCTTCCACTGGCTCACTGGAGCTCAGAGAAACGTCTAATAACAGACTGTTTCCTAAAGTAACTTTAGCTGTGTGCATGAAAAACTCGAGATTCAAATCACATTTTGCCACCAACCTGCAACCAGTTAAATCACATATTTCCTATCAAGATCAAAGCTTGAATGTGCCAACCAGCACAAAATGAAACTGTCATCCTTTTTTTAGACTGAAAATCTCCTTTGACTGCTTAACATGCATGAAGTGGATAAACAGATCATCACAAGCACAGAACAATGGATATCTTTGGTGGGAGCTTATGGAAAACAGCAGCACAAACAATAATCAAATAAGATGGTGGGAGAGCGCCCAGAGCTGCGAGCCGAGGCAATCTGAGAAGAAAAAAAACAACGAAAAAAAAAAAGCGGCTTCTTTTGGCACAGATGGCTTGGATTACCGCAATCATCACGAGAGACGACCACTCAGATCTCCCAGAGGAGCCGTATGCTTGCTGTTCTTGGACAATTCTCAGTCACAGGAATGTTGGTTCAAGTCAATCCCTCCCCACCTCCTGAACCTTCTGCTGCACAGCCTCCAACCTCCAGCATTTAAAAAGACTCCGACTGTCAGAGCCATGAGACAGACTGTGATTCTGGAGGGCAAGAGCCCACGTGTTAAAATAAACGGGACAAAGGTGTTGAGTAGGAACCATAAATAAGGATCATATGAATGAAATTTAGCAGGATGTAAAGTAAGCACTGTGGTTGAGAGAGACGCTGATAAAAGGACATATGAATAAACTTTATGATCAACCGCAATTCTGACGGGATTATTATAAATCAAGCAAACCATAACTTCAATTCACTGTTATGCTGTCAGTCAAGCAGGCATGGCAAAGTTTGTTATTTAACCACCTTTGGCATAAACTTTCTCCAAACTTTGAATTACTAAACTGAGAAAGTTGCAGAAACTAGTCTTAAAAATACACTTTTTAAAACTTTATTTTGTTCTCTTTGAGTTTTATGTTAACTTAATGTGTTTGTTTTCCTGCTGTAACTTTGTAAATCTTTAAGTCCAGAAGCAGATGCTGCCATCTAGGGACGGTACAGAAACACTGCAATTTCCACCCAGACAGGCTTTAAAGCTGTTAAAGGTATTAAAGTAAATTAATTACAAGGAATATGTTTGATATGCAAATGGACAGACTCAGAACAGCTTCTTCCCATCCTGATCTCTAACATGCACTAATTATGTGGTGGTATTAGGTGTATGTGTGTGTAAAATAACATTAGCATATTTATGCTTATATTGTAAATATTTCCTACATTGTTTGCACTGTTTTGTAGCTAAATGTTAGGCTTTAAAAAACTGCATAAAGGTAATTTATTCAAAACTAACTGACTTCTATTTTTTTTCTTAAGTTGTTTTTTCTCTGATTCATGCTTCATTCTGGTGAATTGTTTACAATCAGACAATAAGAAAATTAGGCTTTGAAATTAAGAACTGAAAGTGTTGTTGCCTTATGTTTTTCATCTAAAAAAATAATTCAGAAATGTTGATCGAGAAGGAAATAAAATAGATGTAGACGATTTTGTTAGATAGACAGTTTCTTTAAGAAAATGCATTTCTCAAAAAAAGTATTTTAGTTTTTTATTTACATAGAAAATGGCATTAGTCAGGCAGAACAAATCTGCTCTTGCTCTAAATGTGCCATTCATTAAAAATAATGTTCCACAATAATAAAAGCATTAAAAATGATCAAAATGTTTTTTTCACCTTTTATACTATTAATAACACTTAAAAGTGTGGATGGATTGATTAATTATCATTAGAATCTTAATATTTAAAGGGAAAGATGTAGGTAAGTAACTCATAATCAATACCTGAATCCATATCAGAGGCAGAGACTCTGAGCAGTGGCTCTCCAGGGCCTTTATTCTCCACCACACTAGTAACATAGGTGGTCTGACTGAAGACGGGGGTCTGGTCGTTAACATCTCCCACCTCCACTGTCAGGGTCTGGGTGGAGGACAGAGAGGGGATGCCCTGGTCCGCTGCTCGGACAGTCAGACGGTGGACACGCTGGGTCTCATAGTCCAAAGGGGCAGAGAGAAACAGAAGGCCTAAAGAGGATAAGAGAGTTTAAACAGTCAGCTGAGGAAATAATATTCCAGTGATAAAGGAAGAATGATAGAAATGCTAAATATAGAATTTATTCTTCCTTGGCTGCAGCAGCATTATTTTTCTGTTATAGAGATTTGGATGTAGACAAAAAGTTCAGTTTTGGTCTCATTTATCTTGAGAACCTTTTTTCTAGTCCCAATATTACATATGGCTCGTTAACGATGGCTTTCCAATAGTTAATATTGTTATTAAGTGCAGCTCTTCTCAAACCTCAGCTGTTGATCTCAGAGGTATTTTTCCTTCCATTTGACCAATGTGTGCACCGTTTGGGAGCATCATATGATACCAAACAATGCCTTGTTTGTTGCTGTAACATGTCAAAATGTGAAAAAAGGGGAATTCATACCATCAAAAATACATTTTGCTTTGGGGTAAGAATAATATTAAAAAACATGTAACTTATTTATTTCATGCTCATCTAGTTTATGCACAAAAACAAACAAATACCAGTTTTCTCTTCCAGTGAGAAGAATCCCTTCTTGTTTCCATTTATAATGGAGTAGGAGATCAGTCCATTCTCCCCCTGATCACCATCTATTGCCACAAAATGGTGCAGCAGACTGCCCACCTCCGTGTCCTCCATCAGCTGCACGGAGTGAGCAGACACGAACACAGGCCGGTTATCGTTCACGTCCAGCAGGAGGAGCCGGACCATCACTGACGTCTGTTTACGCTCATCCATCCTCTCTGCCTGGTCTGTGGCGGCGACAGTGAAAACAAACGTCGGCGTGCTCTCACGGTCTAACGGTGCCGCAACTGTCATTGCACCTGTGTGTGAGTTCATGTGAAAGGGGAAGTGTGGGGTTGATCCACTGACTTCAGGGTCAAAGGTCAGAGTGTAGCGAAGGGCACTGTTTGCAAAAGTCCCATCTGTGTCTCTGGCATGAAAAGCAAAGGCCAACGATCCAACAGCGGCGTCTTCCCTCAGACCGAACATCAGCAGTTTGTTGGGGAACCAGGGGGCGTGGTCGTTCACATCCTCCACCGTCACGCTCACCAGCACAGAAATGTTCAAGCCAACAGATGCACCGACGTCTTCCACTCGAGCCACCAGGAAGTACTGCTTGGCAGACTCGTAGTCCAGTGGCTGGTTGACATAGATGTCGCCAGACGTGCCGTCGATTCCAAAGAAAATGCTCCCGTCTCCCTCGGCGATGCTATACTGAAACCTGCCTTCATCCGAAACGCTGACCGAGCCGATGACCGTTGCAGGCTCGGCGTCCTCCCTAACCGAGAAATGCCTCACTGCTTGGTGATCTGAGCTGCCGTACTCATCCTCCAACCCATAAACCTGCAGCAGAAATGCACCAAATTAAATGTGTTTTCTTGTAAACTGAGAAAAAAAGAAAATAACTTCAAATTGGACAAAGACTAAAATAAAAAGTTACTGTGGCAAAGCATTCATACCAATAAGATGTCTTCTATTTTAGGCTACAACCACTAACTAAATATATCTTATTTCCATGTGGAAGACCAACATGTGTGATTGTAAAACTGAAGAATAATTATTAATGATTTTCAAAATGTTGAAACCAATAAAATTTCATGTACATTTGTACTGAGCCCCCTTTACTCTGAAAAACTTAAATAAAATCCAGTGCACCTAAATGCCTTCAAGAGTCAGCTAAAGAACATAGAATCTGAATAAAATACACAATGTTTGTAACTTAAAAATGAAACCAATTGTGAAATTTTTTAATAAGGCCTCCCTCCACCGGGAGGCGACCTAGAGGAAGACCCAGGATGGGAGAGTTTCTGAGCTCTCTGCTTAGGCTGTTGCCTCTGCAACCCGACCTCAGATTGAGCAGAAGATAATGGATGGATGGATGGATGTGGCATATGGAAGGTACCTGTATGTGAACCACTGCTGTGTCCTCCAGAGATGGGGCTCCACCATCCCTGGCTGTTATCTTGAGAGTGTAAAATGGTTCAGTTCTCTGACTGAAGAGCTGCGTGGTTCTGATGTCTCCATTTTTACTGTCAATCTCAAAGTGCCTGAGACCGTTCTCCTCTGATCCAACTGAGAGAGAACAAGAACATTCAGGATCTCACATTTGCACAGCAGAGAACACGTTTCACACTCACCTGTTACTAGTGAATGGGTGACGGTTCCATTCTCTCCAGCATCCAAGTCTTTGGCAAACATGTTGGTCACCAAGAATCCTGCAGGTACGCCTGCCCATATCTGCAATAAAGACACAACGTGAATAATATGTACATGAATGCACATTTAGAGATGGTTCTGCTCTGGTTTTCTGTTGCTGTGTGTGGCGCCACTTGAAGCTCTAAATCAGTTCGAGCAAAGATTTTATTCACTTTTACATCATCAATACTTTTGCACTAAATGATTATTTATCCAAAAAGTCATTTTTAGCTATTTTTTTTTACAAACTAGTGTAACACAACATGCTCGACAGAAGTTAGCAACAGATGGACAATTAAATTGGGTAAACAGTGCAGACGTGTTTTTACACACAAATACCAGAAAATAGAGCTTATAAATGAGCAATTCTGCATGTTATAACAGTGTGCAGCTGGTCAGAGAGAGAAGAGTTAATAACTCTATGACGTTTTTGTGAGTTGAACTGACTGTGGAATGAGATACTAAAAGCCCAATGATGAGGTTTATGTGACTAAATCTGTGATCCTTTTAAGGCCATTTGGAATAACCTGAAAAAAGACAGTTTCCTATGTTGGGATTCACATCCACGTTGTGTGTTCTTTGCTACATTGCAACACACACTTCGGTTTAACACAAGCGCTAACATAATTTCAGTATAAAGGTGCACAAAAACCACTGTAGAAGCATTTAAACTCTGATCAGAACCACGCTGTGATTCTCCAAACTCAGTTTGTTCATGCTGCCATCTAAGTCAAATTTCTTACAGGAACATTTAGCTCTTTGCTGGAAGGCAGATGATTAAACTGTGGAGTGTTGTCATTGATGTCAGTGACCAGGACATGAACATTGGCGGTGGCATTGAGACGAGGGTGACCTTGATCTGTCACCATAACGGTCAGGCTGTGCTGGCTGTGTTGCTCCCGGTCCAGCGCCACCCAGTTGATGATTTCACCTTAAAAAGAGAAGAGAAAAACGAGTGAGGAGAGGAAACAGCTGGCTGGTGCTGGTAATAAAACCATTTTTACCTGTTTTAGCATTGATGCGGAAGTATTTCCCATCTGAGAGGAGGATGTAGGACAGCTGGCTGTTCTTCCCAGAATCCTTATCCTTGGCTCTGACTGTTCCCACCAGGCCTTGTGGAGATGACCCCTCTGATACAGTGAAGTAGTACACATCACTGCTGAACACTGGGGGATTGTCATTGACGTCCAGCACCAGTACATTCACCATTGCTGTTGCTGTGACATTGGCCAGTGAAGCCTCTCCACAGGTGGACAACACCTGAAAACGATATCTTGACTCGGTCTCAAAGTCAAGATTGCTGGAGAGATACAACCATCCAGACTTTGGGTGGATGTGAAAAGGAGGCGGAGGGAACCCAGCTTCTGCTTCCAAAGAGTAAGTGAGACCTGAGTTTGAAGTGTGAGACCCTCGGGTGCGGTGCGCCCTCACCTGGATGACGCGGGAGTCTTTGCGGTAGCCTTCCCCTATCTCCACCTGGTAGACCAGCGTCTCAAAGGCCAGGCTGTCATCTGCAGCTGTGTGGTCAATGTTAACCGAAAGGGTCAGGGTGGAGCTCAGGGGAGGTTTTCCTTCGTCTTTTGCCAAGATTTCCAGGTTGTATCTTTGCTGTTGGCTCACATGTAAGCTCTTATTAAGTCTAACCATTCCAAGGTTTGAGTCAATGGCAAACACTTCACTTCTGCTGCTTTTCAGATGATACTGCACTATGCCATTGGCACCGCTGTCATGGTCATGTGCGTGAGCGATGAACAGCACTGTTCCAGGCCGAGTGCTTCGAGAAACAGTGATGGTGTCTCTCCTCTTGGGAAACACAGGGGCATTGTCATTGACATCAGTGATGGTGATGTTGACCTGGGTGGTGCTGTAAATAGGAGAAGTGTCTGTGTAGGACTGAAGGAACAGCAGGGCATAAGGCTGAGACTCATGGTCCAGAGGTTTGATGGTATTGATCACACCAGACTTTGGATGGACAGAAAACCAACTGTGAAGGTTTCCAGAAGAGATTCGGTAAGAAATGGGCTCCGTCGAATCTGGAAAGACATGAAATAAAGCTTTTCAATACATGGTGGAGTTTTATCTAGACTTTTTTTAGTGTCAGCATGAAACATCTCCAACAAATTTCTGGTTAGTACTTTTCGTGACTTTTTTTTGTCAAGCTATTAAACTCTAAACTATGAATTATTCAGGCTTATAAGGACTCCTGAAGGGATGCATCAGTGTTGTGTCTGCACAGAACGAACAGTTTTACAAAAAAAAAAAAAAAATGGATTAAAGAAGATCTTTCTTTTTTTTACCAACAACCTGTGGCAAAAACACAATATGTTCCCATTTCTAGATGAATTTATAAATTATTTCTTGGCCAACTACAACTGGTGAGAAAAAAAGGAAAAAAAATAACAGCCTCCATATAAAGAAAGGTTTTGAAATACCTGCTAATGACCTGATGATGAATAAATACTACTTAGAATCATAATAATATAGAAAATGTATTTAACTGAACTGATTTTATCTGAATGGGACAATGCACATTAATGAATGTACCACATTGCCACAAATACAATGTGGCAATGTAGTAAGATGCTAATTTCTGTCTGTAGTCTCATGAAACAAAGAACACAACATGCAAACAATAATAATAAAATTTCATTAAAGAGAAAAATGCAATAAAAATAACAAATAAAATCAATATGGGGGTAGGTATTAAAGTGCTAGTGTATTTTATAATGTTGAACAAAATCTGTCATAAAATAGTGATTGAAATAAGAGACGTCTGACTGAGGTCAACCCCATCAGGGTTACTATTTATAGAAACAAAATAATGTCACATGTTGCGAGATACAGACTCTGTACAACCGGATCATCAACATGGATTCATACTTCTTATGAATATAAACACATTATGTTTCTCTATCTTTACAAAGACTAATTCATTTCTATAGCTTAATCTTGACCTTTACTGTAAAACTAACCATTACCAGTAACCCGAAAACTAACCTAAACTCAACTGACGCCTTAGCCTGAAACTTGACTTATGACCCCAAAACAACACAGCACAAGGAAATGGTGCTTACAGTGTAACAAATGTAAGCTCTCTCTCACACACACACACACACACGCTCTCTCACACACACACACACACGCACACACACACACGCACGCACGCACGCACACACACACACACACACACACACACACACACACACACACACACACACACACACACACACACACAAAGACACACACACACAGAGTACATTAATTATCTTAAAGGTCAGAAAATCCCAATAATCTCAATCATCTCCTCAATGTGTGTGTTGCATCTCAACACACACACTGTTTCAGTTACAACCTACTGAAACAAGCATAGAGCTTAACACTGGCTGGCCCCTGCTGTTTCTACTTTAGACTGAAGTGTTAGTCTGTAAGTTGATTAGAGAGCCTTAAATGACTGTCTGGTGTGTGTGGCTGAGTGCTTTAACTAATGAGTCGTGTGGAGCAGCATGTCTATGTAAGAATAATCCTGGAAAACACACATATTTATAAAACAGAGCAAAAAAATCATACATAATAAGCTGTTTAATAACTGTATGTTCATGACAATATTATGAGACATGGTAAATAATGTTGATTTGACGTGTATGATCAAAGAAAACAATAGAAATTTCTTACTCTTTTTTTATTCTGTATGTCAGTTCGACTGATATCTGTAATTGTTTTTGTCACAAACAAGACAAATCCTGTCTAATCCATTTTGTGTCACCTTTCATTGCCCTTCAAATGGACTATTTTTCGTTTTATACAATCAGGATCTTCAGTCGTTTTGGGGTTTTCTGGGCTTGTTGTTTATCTATTTGCCTTAAGAATTGTAAATTATATTTAGTTCAGTGTGCTCCTAGTTATTTCAGTGAAATTATGTTTATTATTATTTATTCATTTTGCTCAGTTTTTTTGTCTGTAGATTTGAATTTTTCAGTTCCCCTGTTGGTGTTTATGTCATCTTTAATCCTGGTGACGATGTTTTTTGAAATGAATGCAAACTTCTCTTTTCCTTAACGGGATTTTTCAGTAGATCTTGATAAACCTCAAGGACCAAACTACCTCCAGTCAGTACTATTTTCGTTTGAATTTTATCTCTCTTTTTCTCTGTGTAATCCCCCAAACCACAGCATTTTAAAAATAGTAGAACTTATTTTGTTCCTAACAGCTCTGTATTGGCAATAAAGAGCTGTTCTCTGAGCCTAACAAGCAGTGCTGACTCACACTAAATGTGATATGCTAATAGATTAATAGATTAACTCAGAACAAGAACCACAAGGAGAACCTGATCAGAATCAAAGAAAAGTCTAATTCATTTAAAGACTTAGTTGCATAATATTTATTTCAACGTCTAATCTTTAAATTTCCAGCAAACTGTTTTTCCTTCTTCCACCTGCAGTAAAAAAAAAATAGCAAGACAACATTTTTAAATTGTTTCACACTTTGGTTCTGGATGCCAAGGAGAGGAACCATCAGGCATCCACTGCCAGAGCCAGATGTAAGCAGCTGATATCTGAGGTTCAACAGACATGTCAAGAATTCCTTAATCACAAAGTGGACAGTCTCAGGTCTAGAACCACAGGTCCAGAACCACAGGTCCAGAACCACAGGTCTGGACCCTGAATGGTTACAGAAGAAAACCCAGGCTGAGCCTCCTGCTGCAGGGATCACTGTGTTGGTTAAAGCTGACTCTTGAGATGAACAAAACTAAATTAATGTTTTCCTGAAATCACTACCAGATCACAAAGTACCAACTTTACTGCTCATGTTGTGTAAATGATTAGAGGAGCTGGTGGGTGTAGGATGGTTCCAGAGGGAACAAGCCCAGTAAAATCAGTTTGCTCATTGCTGGTCTATAGAAGAACCAAACGATGTCCAATGGAGCCTCTCCTCAGAATTGTAACATGATGCTTAATTATTTTGTGTTTCTGTTTTAATGTGTGTCTAATAAGGTTTGCTTTACAATTTGATTTTTTTCCATGTAGTTTTAAAAATACATTGTCAGCACAATAGTTGCACCAGACATTTTAAGCATATGCATACTGTATTCATTTGGATGGTTTAGATTATTAAAGGGGCAGTATTATGTGTTTTCCAGGCACATAGTATCGTTTTATAGCCCAATAAAGTAACTATGTTAACTTCAGTTATTATTATTGAGTTGGTCAATTGGGTCTCTGTCTCTTTGAAAACTCTCTCTTTCTGAAACTCCACCTTCAGGAAGTCTTCACAACATGGTAAAAACAACGCTGGTAGCGTTTGACTGAGAAGCAGCTTCTATGATGAGCTCAACTGATGCACAGTTCCACCAGGTGTTGGCTAATTTCTGCTAGCTAGTCTGAAGGAGCTGAGTGGGAGGGAGGCATTTTGTGCAGTGGCTGTGGAGATTAAAAGATTTCTCAAACATGCATATAAGAATCAATGATGTAAGGTTTAAAAAA